TGTGTGTTCCTAATCCCACCCCCCGATGACACAATCAATGTGTACAAGTAATCATAAGCAGCAATGAATAGGATATGCTTCTGATTATATCAAAGCCCAGCAGACACATGTGACTTTCATTCTTATAGCCTCACAGGTGCCTAGACACCATCACATGTGTCTGCTGCTAGCAATAGGGAAAGATTACACATCCACTTGGTTCTACTGGTATTTATTCTCCTATTCAGATGAAGGGAAAGCACAACTTTTATACACATAAATCATATCTCTTCAATTACCACCCCATTTCACCTTCGCTTGTGTGGGACCCACCTTTAGTTTCTCCCATGTACCCGCTATTTCTCCTCTTTGCTCCTTCTTCCTTCCCTTACTACACCCCCCCTCTCACCACCACCCTTTAACCCTCTGAGCATCCCCTCTATATCTCCCTTATTTACCCCATATATAACACATAGACATATATGCATATAATCAGAGTGGACCACTTTTCTGTTAGTATCTTTTGAATGAAATCCTGGTTGCTACCTCATCACAATCTTCTATCATGTTCCTTATTACTAAATAGCTGTAGATTTGCTACTCTTTATATGTAGTGGCTAAGTGGTTAGCACTTCCACCTAGCAGCATTAGGGTCATCAGTTTGAATCCCAACCACAGCACTACCTGCCTGGAGTTTGCATGTTCTCCCTGTGCCTGCGTGGGTTTCCTCCGGGTACTCCAGTTTCCTTCCACAATCCAAAGACATGCGGGTAGGTTAATTGGATCCTGTCTAAACTGGCCCCAGTATGTGTATGAATGTGAGTTAAGGACAGGGGCAGACTGACAACTCATGGGGCCCCCGGGCAATAGGGGATCATGTGTCCTTGCCCAAACTCTATGAAAAAGGTACCGGGGGCATGATAAATCCATTTTTATAAAGCAGCAGTATTAATACGTCTTTACTTGCATGCTGTGATTAGAAATAAGGCCAAATGGAAGTTATAACTTACTAGAAAACTGGTTTGAATGTTGATATGTGCAGAAGCCGATATGGTTGGTCTACTCCCAGGGACGGACTGACAACTCATGGGGCCCCCGGGCAATAGGGGATCATGGGGCCCCTGTGTCTTTGCCCAAACTCAAAAAAGCCTATGAAAAAGGTACCAGGGGCATCTCATGGGGCCCCCTAATGACCCCGGGCCCTCGGGCAGTGCCCGAGTTTCCAAATGGTCAGTCCGCCCCTGGTTAAGGACCTTAGATTGTACTCCCCTTGAGGGCAGGGACCGCTGTGAATGAACAATATATATGTAAAGCACTGCATAAATTGATGGTGCTATATAAGTACCTGTAATTTATTACTGAAAATATGTTTTCTATGATCCCTTCTTCTGTAAATAAGTTACAAAAGGTGCATATTTGTACTGATTGCTTTTTCACATTAAACTGATCCTTTTTAGACAGCCCAACGTTCAAGTTTTCAAGTACAGCTCCACTTTAAGCAGAGATAAGCCTGTAAGCCATGCGGTTTTTACCAGGAGATCACCTGTCGTGCTGAAAAGGGCTTCATTTTTTCAGAAACAACATATTAGTCTACCAAGTATGTCAGTCCAAAAGTTTTCTGTCAGATCACTAATAGACTAAGCCACATATTCACATACAGCCAAAGTTGTAAGATGAGAGTGGCTTTGAAGTCAAATGCAGCATACTTAGATGTGTTCTCCCACCATGTACTCCACAACTGAACCCCATTCATACTAATAATTTTTTTTATAAGATTATATCCTAACAAACTTACCAGAAGTAACTTGATTGGTCTGGAGTGTTGGAAATGGTTGTTATTGTTAATATATCTACTTCTGAAAAAGTTTATACATTTTGAATATAAATAATTTAGACGGTGAAGTCCACCTACAGACACTTCCACCAAAAATTAGGCAAAAACGTGATTGTACGAATTTGCATGTTTAACCACTTACCGACTGCTGCATGTAGATATATGTCAGCCTCTCTGCGCCGGATCGCGTATAGGTACAGGTAGGGGGCTTGCCCACCTCCCCTTCTGTTTTGTCATTCGCTACAGCACAAGCCGATCAGCAGGTCCTGACCAATGATTGCCGGCTGGGACCTGCTGATTGGCTTAGCGAATGACAGTAGAGAGCCCTGTGTTTACTAACAAAACAGGGCTCTCTACAGAGAGCAACGATGTGCTGTTTTTTTTCTCTCCCTGCAAAGCAAGGAGAAAAGGCGAACACATTGCTTAGTAAAAGCAGCACATATTATATACATTGTTGGGCACACAGTTAACCCTTTGATTGCCCCTAGATGTTAAACCCTTACTGTATTAGATGTCCTTACTGTGGAGATGTCAGTGGCAGTTAGTCAGTTCTCAGCCAGTGTCAGATTGCCTGCCCTACTATCACAGTCCCACTATAAGTTGCTGATCGTTGCCATTACTATTATTAAAAAAATAAAAAATAAAATCCAGTATATATACCATAGTTTGTAGATGCTATATGATGGGGTTTATGGCTTCCCTTTTCCTTTCCAAAGAGTGAACCTCCTTCACCTAGGAGTACACACAATGTGCACAGCACCCCCAGAGACCAGAGGCCCTCCACAGGCTTCACTGGGGTAGAGGTGATGTCACCAGAAGGGGGAGGAAGTGGGCAGAGAAGCCCGTAACAGCCTTTCCTCCTGTGACAGACCCAACTGGGACAGGGTCTTTTGAAGGAGACTGCAGGCTAGCCTCTTGCCTACTGACTATGGCCCCTGGTGTTTGAGGGAGCTCTATTCTTTGGGAGGTGTGTGCCTGGGTGACCTTTTCGAGTAGTGTTACTTCAGACTCAAGTCCTTGTCTCCCCAAAACACACATACTCTGAGAACTGGAGGACCAGGTTACAGATTTGGAGTCTCTGTGCCCAAACCAGCAATGACTGCTTTAACCCCTGGTAGACTCAGAGACTGTAAGCAGATGTTAATATAATCAGCTCAAAACAACCTGATGCTGAAGTATCTTGCTGTAATTTGTTTATTAAGGTGTGATGTGTTTACTGTTGTGTCTTTGTCCCATTGTTAATTGAATTAATTGAGCCACCTATTATTTCTGCCTGTTGACTAGTCTTCCTGGACATTTCTTCATGATGGAATTAGTTTTGTGTCAACTTGACCTCATTACCTAAACAGTGTGGTATGTTTATTCCAATGTGTAATGTTTGTTTTTATTGTTATTTATTATGTGAGGACTGCCACTATTCCTGACATGTATAAAAACCTGTACTTCTGTTCAATAAAGAGTCCCAGTTGCACCTAAGCTAGTGTCATCTAGTTCTTGGGTGCAATGACCAGCTATAATACCTCGGTCCTGTGACCCAGTGGTGAGAAAGCAGTTGACTGACGGAAGCACCCAGGTGGGGTGCAAGGCGGTCCATCACACTTCCTCTCTGCATGTCCCTGAAAATATGACAATAGTACCATGTCAGCACTCTCCCGTTTTTTAATCAACGCTTTCCATTACCATGCCTGAAACCCCCCAAACACTGTGCTTTTACCACTAACTCCCACTCTCAGATACAGGTAAATAAAATGTATTTATTAATTTGAGGTTTAGATCTGCTCCAGATAAAATTAAGAAGCTTTTGTTGTTGGATTCAGATAATATGGGCGCATATAGACACTGTAAGGCGTATAATAATTTTGGAAGGTAAGTCATCCAAATGTATCCGTCCAAACCCATAATATGGGGAGGCTTCACCATGTATTGAGTAATGAGTTTAATCATTGGAAAAGAGATGGAAAATTCCCATGATATAATGTTTCCTAGGAAGGGGTCAGGGTGACACCTAGGTAGGGTAGAGCTAAGGACCAGCGAAACAGGAACAAGTTACGAAGAGGATGTAGGTTACAGACATTACTTTAGACTTGGTTTGGTTGACGTGCAACCCTGAGAACTTGACGAAATGAGTCAGTATTGAAATTAGATTTAGCAAGGAGACATATGAAGAAGTAACAGGCAACAATATATAGTTTGCAAACAGAGATATAGTTTATGGTGCATTCCAGAAATCTCAACTCCTTTTATGTCAGCATACATGTGAATGGCTTCTGCGAATGATGAATAAAGCATCTGGACCGGATGACATACACCCGCGGGTCCTAAAAGAATGGATCTCTGTAATTTCAAAGTCATTGTTTCTCATTTTTAGGGACACGTTAATGACTGGTATAATACGATTGGATTGGCATAAGGCCAATGTGGTGCCTATATTTAAAAAAGTTATCAAAGTCTTTACCAAAGTAAGTATAGACCTATTAGTTTAACTATAGTTGGGAAGATACTGGAGAGTTTAATAAAAGACCACATAGAAGAGTTCCTTGCTAGAAAAAAATATCTTAAGCAACAGACAACATGGATTTATGAAACACAGAAGTTGTCAAACAAATCTGATTTATTTTTATGAAGAGGTAAGCAATACTATAGACAAAGGAGTGGCTGTAGACGTGGTATACTTGGATTTTGCAAAAGCGTTTGACACAGTTCCCCCACACACAACTAATGTGTAAAGTAAAGTCTACAGGCTTGCAAAAATCAATTTATAAATGGATAGAAAGCTGGCTAAAAGACCATATTCAGAAAGTAGTGGGTAATGATTTATACTCTGAATGGTCTAGGGTTGTTAGTGGTGTTCCCCAATGTTCAGTATTGGGATCCTTGCTTTTTATAAAAGGTATAAGTACCATTTCAGTCATTGCAGATGACACCAATCTATGCAGTGGAATAACATCCGTACAGGATGTCTCCAACTTACAAGCTGACCTCAATGCACTACTGTATTTTTCGCTCCATAAGAAGCACTTTTTTCCTCCCAAAAAAGGGGGGAAAATGCCAGTGCGTCTTATGAAGTGAATATGGAGCGGCTGGTCCGGTATTTCCGCCGCCGCCGCCGCCACCATGTCAGAATACCGGGCAAGCCGCTCACTTCTTCTCCTGCAGGACCTTACCTGTTCCTCTATCCAGCGCTGTACAGTCTTTCCGCGCCGGCTTCTTCCTGTGCCGGCTTCTGTGACAGCCGGGTGCCCACTGCGCATGCGCAGGAAGCGCTGCACTTTGTGAATGGTCCAGCGACTTCTGGGACACATGACAGATCCCAGAAGGCGCCGGGCCATTCACAAAGCGCAGCACTTCCCGCACATGCGCAGTGGGCATCTGGCTGTCACAGAAGCCGGCGTGGGAAGTAGCCAGCGTGCCCACACTAAAGAAAGGGCAACTTCAGGTACCCACTCCCCCTCTCTCCCCAAAGGTCCGCAGTCTCTGGTCATCCCCTGTACTGTCTGCAGTCTCTGGTCATCCCCTGTACTGTCTGCAGTCTCTTGGTCATCTGTACTATGTCTGCAGTCCCTGGCATTTTCCCTGTACTATGTTCACAGTCTCTGGTCATCCCTTGTACTATGTCCACAGTCTCCGGTCATTCCCTGTACTATGTCCGCAGACTCTGCTCATCTCCTGTACTATGTCTGCAGTCTCTGGTCATTCCCTGTACTATGTCTGCAGACTCTGGTCATCTCCTGTACTGTGTCTGCAGTCTCTGGTCATTTGTACTATGTCCGCAGTCTCTGGTCATCTCCTGTACTATGTCTGCAGTCTGTTGTCATCTCCTGTACTATGTCCGCAGTCCCTGGTCATTCCCTGTACTATGTCCGCAGTCTCTGGTCATCTCCTGTACTGTGTCTGCAGTCTCTGGTCATCTCCTGTACTGTGTCTGCAGTCCATTGGTTCAGAATATTTTTTTTCTTGTTTTTCACCTCTAAAACCTAGGTGCGTCTTATGGTTAGGTGCGTCTTATGGAGCACAAAATACGGTATTTAATTGGGCAACTATGTGGCAAATGAGATTTAATGTTGATAAATGTAAGGTTAAGCTCTTGGAAGCTAAGAATATGCATGCACTATACATACCAGGGGGGTACAACTGGGGGAATCAATGGTGGAGAAGGATCTGGGGGTTCTGGTAGATAAGAAGCTTAATAATGGCATGCAATGCAACGCTACGGTTTCCAAAGTGAGCAAAATCCTCTCTTGTATTAAAAGAGGTAGGAGAGAGAGAGAAAGAGAAATCATTGGCAATAGCTCATCTGGAATATGCAGTTCAGTTTAGGGCACCAATTCACAAAACGGATATTGGGGAACTGGATAAAATTAAGAAAAGGGCAACCAAACTGATAAGAGGCATGGAGGAGCTCAGCTATGAGGAAAGATTAGGGTAACTGAATTTATTGTCTCTTGAGAAGACGAGATTAAGGGGGGATATGATAAACATGTATAAATACATAAATGGTCCATATAGTGAATTTGGTGTAGAGTTATTCACTTTAAGGTCATCACAGAGGACAGAGGGGCACTTTTTACGTCTAGAGGAAAAGGGATTTAATCCAAGTACGGAAAGGCTTTTTCACAGTAAAAATGTGGAGTAGACTCCCTCAAGAGCTGGTCCTGGCCAGCTCAGTAGGTTGCTTTATAAAGGCTTGGATTATTTCCTAAATAATATAATATAATAACATAATATAGCTGGATACTAACATTTATAGGTTACATTGATCCACGGAATATATGACTGCCTCTTGGGGGATCAGGAAGAAATTTTCCCCTGCTGGAGCAAATTGGGTCATGCTTTGCTGGGGTTTTTTGCCTTCCTCTGGATCAACTGTGGGTATATGATTGTGTATATTGTATTGTATAATTTTTTTTTCCTTTTTATTGGTCGAACCAGATGGACTTGTGTCTTTTTTCAACCAAACTATGTAACTAGGTAATATAACTAACAATGTTGAGGGAGGGTAACCTTGACGGATGGAGTATATGGAGGTGTCACAATCATGATATTTGATTTTAGCCTGAGGAGTACTGTACAACGTCGCTATCCAGGACAAAAATTTAGAACCAAAGCCATGGGTTTGAAGAGCTGAGACCAGGTGTGTCCAAGATAGAGTGTTAAAAGCTTTGGAAATATCATAGACATATCATATAACATCATCTCTTGGGTACGCTTACGAGCTACATGAGTGAGATAGAATACCTTGCATATACAATCCCCAGCCTGACATTAAGGGATGAACCCTTCTTGGTCTTTTATTAATAAGTTGGGCCAAAAAAAGAGTTTAGTCTGTTTGCTAAGATCTTAGTCAAGATTTTAACATCAAATGTGTAAAGAAATTGGGTGGTAATTATCCCAGCTATGGGGGTCTTTGTTGGGTTTGGGTATCATAATATATTAGCAGTCAGCATCTGTGACGTGAGAGGGTATCCCTGTCTTGCCTGGTTAAAACACATGACCCAAATAGCATTTTTTTTTACACAGTTCACCCCCACCTGTTTTGGTTCAGGGTGTTTTCCAAAAATCCTGAATGCTGTAATTAAAAATTATATATGTTTTCCTGTTTAAATGAAGCATGAAATGTGATTGGTTGCTGTAAGTAACTGAACATTTTGTTAATCAGACCCAATGTGTTATATGAACTCCAGAATATCTGAATTTCTCTCCATTTTTCAGCATAGGGCCTGTGTACATTTGAAAACCATTAGCATATGATAATTACCTTTAGTGCATGAGATAATACAGTTCCAGAATTTGTACCTCTTTCCACTGTCCCAGAATCTGTCAGATAACAAATGCATGCAGAGGCCTCCCTCCTTTGTCTGCCTTTGTATTCTCATCTTCACTGAGGCAAAGAAAAGCTTGCTTAGCTGGCAAACTCTTAAAGTGGAGATGCAAAAGCCCTCCTTGCTATCTTTATAATTTAACAACCTTTGGCTGTGTTCTAAAGCCTTTTCTGCCACCGAGCTTTCTATGCCTGAAAGGGAAAATGGTTGAATCTTCATTTTTGTTTATAGGGAAGAAAAGTGTTTCCTTTTATACTGTACCTCTGCTTCTTTTGTGAACAAGTAATAGCCACACCAGGGCTGCCTCAGGGGTAAAGACAGTGAGGCATCAGACTAGGCCACAAGCTGAACAAATAAAGGATCTTAATATAGCTGACACAAGCTTAGGTCAGGTTTATAGGTTTGCTGTTTGCAGGTATTCAAGCTTCACATTCTGTTTTGGAATTAGGCCCCCAATTGTGTTGAAAAGGTTCTGTGCCATATAGGAAATCGGAATTTTGTGCAAGTCACGTCTACCCAAAATGTGTGCACAAAATTACTTTGGTTTGAAGCCTTTGAATACAATTTTAAGTCGTCAATCAGGCATAAGATTTAACAATTGCGGCCCTAAACCCATATAAGTAGATAAAAAAATAATCATGAATTTAATAGATGAATGTATTAAAATGAATGAATAAGTAAGGGTGACGTAAATTTGTACAAATATGACAGTCTAACCATTTTCATGCTGATTAAAAAAGCTGAACAATAATCAGATCCAGGAGCTGTGCTGCAGGGTTTGCACAGAATTAGAATTAGGTCCAGTTATGATGTAAATATATACTTTTTTAATGTTATCATTAATAAAAGCAAATAAAACATCAAAACTTTGACAAAAAAGATAAAAAGCAAAGCTTTAATAACATGGAAGAAAGGGTCAATGGAAAAAAACAGAAGCTGGCATCAAAGCATTTACCATGAATCTCTTCTCTAATGAAGTGATTTCCAACATGTTCCAACGTGCTCCTCTGCATTTACGTGTGAAATCTATTGGCAATGGAGACTTATCTGGTGACTTTGATACTGTCTTTACCTTCTCATTCCAGCTCCCTTTTGCTTGCTCTTATTACTCGCATTGTTGGCTTGGTAAAATCTTAGGTGCAGACTAGGAGGCATACATGGATTGAAATTTGGCTGTTTCAGTTGGGACTGGGCAAATTTCAATCCATGCGCAGGCTGGTTGTACACAAGTCAATTTATTGATCAACTTGTGCACAACCAGCCTGTCGAGTTTTTCTCAAGTGTATTCTGACAGCAAGGAGGGCTCCACACCATCAGAACAAAATAGAAGAGCAGGAGTGATTTCTCCATCCACAATGATTTTTTTTTTTTTTCGTTCAATCAGCGGGTTGAAGGAAAACAAATTATCAATGTATTGCCAGCCTTAGAATACAGAGTTGGTCACTGTTCTATTCATCGGCATCTGTTCTTAACTCAGTCCACCGTTTGCGATCACTTTATTAGAACTTTGACTTTTTATCCTTCCTGTTGCAGTTGTGTTTTGTCTGCTTTCCACTAATGATACAATTATATAATAAATTTACATTGATTGTATTTGTTGGGTGATCGGAAACCAGTGAAGGGATTGGCAAAAGGGGCGACAGACACTGATTAATTGGTAAGGTGGTTAAGTCTGGCATCAGCATTTACACCAAGCACCCTGTCATGGGGAGAGGGACTGATAGCAGTGATATTGATCTTGAAGGAAAAGTCAGTGGAGGAGGCCCTGGGGAAAGAAATATTATGAGCACCGATTAGAAAGATTGGCTTTTAGGAAGTAGTGTGACATCCATATGTCCATTTTGTAGAGGAAAAAAAAACCTGTTGACTATTCAAACAGCAAAGTGGCCCACAGTAGAGTGTGTGTTTGTTTAGGAATGAGTCAAAGTTAATTCCATGTCCAAACTAAAAATGATAACTTCAGCACATTCCTAAACAACAACACAGGTGCATCTGCTGTTTGAACAGACAACAGAATTTTTTTCCTCAATGAACCAGTTCACCACTCCCCTGTGAGGACCTAGATTTCTGCTTGGAAATAAAGGTATTCTCTACACATGCACTCAGAAGGTCGTGTCTGCCATCCAACTTGGTTATTAGCAACCTCTCCAAATGTAAGTCCGTTCCCGTTTTGCATACTTAAATCCTTTTAAAGATTATACACTATAAACAAACACTACCCTTTATAAGGGCATGCTGAGTCTCCTTTTAATTTTCTCGGTGGATTCCTTGGAACCTGCTCCCTCCTTCTTGTACACCCCCGAGGACCACCACCCTATGAATACTATTGATATGTACAGTGGGGATCGAAAGTTTGGGCACCCCAGCTAAAAATTTGTATTAATGTGCATAAAGAAGCCAAGGAAAGATGGAAAAATCTCCAAAAGGCATCAAATTAGAGATTAGACATTCTTATAATATGTCAACAAAAGTTAGATTTTATTTCCATCATTTACACTTTCAAAATAACAGAAAACAAAAAAATGGCGTCTGCAAAAGTTTGGGCACCCTGCAGAATGTATAGCATGCACTGCCCCCTTTGCCAAGCTGAGACCTGCCAGTGCATGGATTGTTCTCAATCATCATCTGGGAAGACCAGGTGATGTCAATCTCAAAGGTTTTAAATGCCCAGACTCATCTGACCTTGCCCCAACAATCAGCACCATGGGTTCTTCTAAGCAGTTGTCTAGAAAACTGAAACTGAAAATAGTTGACGCTCACAAAGCTGGAGAAGGCTATAGGAAGAGAGCAAAGCATTTTCAGATGTCAATATCCTCTGTTCGGAATGTAATTAAGAAATGGCAGTCATCAGGAACAGTGGAAGGTAAAGCAAGATCTGGAAGACCAAGAAAAATATCAGACAGAACAGCTCGCAGGATTGTGAGAAAAACAATTCAAAACCCACGTTTGACTGCACGATCCCTCCAGAAAGATCTGGCAGACATTGGAGTTGTGGTACACTATTCCACTATAAAGAGATACTTGTACAAATATGGTCTTCATGGAAGAGTCATCAGAAGAAAAAACCTCTTCTACGTCCTCACCACAAAAATCATCGTTTGAACTTTGCAAATGAACATATAGACAAGCCTGATGCATTTTGGAAACAAGTT